GCTCTAGGAGAAGTTTTCTCTCTGTCAGCTCTGGGAAAGGTCCTTGTAAGCTCCTTTCAGCGTCTATAGGCCCAGCATTCCTTGGAGATCTCCCTGTGTCTTGGCATGGATCTTTCCCTGGACCTAGGAACTTCACAGTGCAGGGACCTGAGGTTCAAATGATGAACTTCATTTCCGGCTCCCCTTTCTTGGTGGTAGCATGTCCATCCTTCTCTGTTCACTTCTCTCTCCTTTTACCTCTTGTGAGATAAAAGTGTTACAGGCCACACCCCTAGGAACTCCCTTGTTGGTTTCTCACATCAGATCATATCATGGGGCATCATCACATAACTGCCACATTACATCATTACATAACTGTCAAAGCACTGAAAATCATGGCCCAGCCAAACTGATGCATATTTTGGGGGGAAAACCATTAAATCCATGAGAGATGTTAAATTGTGTTTTTTTGACTGTGCAAAAGCATCCTACTGTGTGGATCGTAACAAACTATGGATAACATTGCAAATAATGGGATTTCCAGAACACTTGATTGTGCTCATGAAGAACCTGTACACAGACCAAGAGGCAGTCGTTTGAACAGGAGGATACTGTATAATTTGAAATCAAGAAGGGTGTATGTCAGGGTTGGATCCTTTCACTGTTCTTATTCAATCTATATGCTGAGCAAATAATCCGAGAAGCTGGTCTATAGGAAGAAGAACATAGCATCTGAATTGGAGGAAGACTCACTAATAACCTACACTATGCAGATGATACCGATCTTGCTGAAAGCAAAGAAGACTTAAAGCACTTACAGATGAAGATCAAAGACTACAGTATGGATTGTAAAGATAACAAAAATTCTCACAACTGAATCAATGAGCAACATCATGATAAACAGAAAATACTGAAATGAAGGATTTCATTTTACTTAGATGCACAATCAACGGTCATGGAAACAGCAGTCAAGAAAGCGAGCAATGTATTGTATGGGGCAAATCTGCCGCAAAAGACATCTTAAAAGTGTTCAAAAGCAAGTCAGTCACTTGGAGGACTAAGGTGTGCCTGATTCAAGCCATGGTATTTTCAGTTGCCTCATGCATATGATTCTGAACAATCAATGAGAAAGACTTAAAAAATGGATGTGTTTAAATGATGGTGTTGATAAAGAATATTGAATGCAGCATGGATGGCAAGAAGACTGAACAAGTCTGTCCTGAAAGAAGTACCACCAGAATGCTCCTTAGGGGGAAGGAGGGCGAGACTTTGTCTTACGTACTTTGGACATGTTGTCAGGAGGAGCAATCTCTGGAGAAGGACATTATGTGTGATAGAGGGTCAGCCCGAAAGAGGAAGACTCTCAGTGAGATGGAATGACACAGTAGTACAACAGTGAACTCAAATATAGTGTTATGGATTGAACTGTGACCCCGCAAACTATGTGTCAACTTGGCTAGGCCATGATTTTCAGTGGTTTGGAAGCTATGTAGTGATATAATCATCCTCATGATGTGATCTGATGTGATCAGCTAATCATTGGGATTGCTGTTAAGTCCTGTCGGATCAGTTCCCACTCACAGTGACCCTCTATAGGGTTTCCAGTAAACAGCTGGTAGGTTTGAACAAGCAACCTTTTGGTTAGCAGTCCAGCGTTAATCCTACAGTGCCCTACCAGGACTCCAATCAGTGGATTTGTTGTTAAGTGCCATCGAGTCGATTCCAACCCATAGCAACCCTGTGTAGGGTTTCCAGGGAGCAGCTGGTCAGCTTGAACCACCAACCTTGCAGTTCAAACGATTTTGCAGTCTGATGCATTAGCCCACAGCGCCACACCAGCACTCCAATCAGTGGGATACAACATCCTTAATCAGGTCAGAGCCCTGATCTATTATAAGGGGAGTTTCACTGGAGTGTGGCCAATATCACCTTTTATCTTACAAGAGATAAAAAGAGAAAGAAGCATGCAGAAAGAGGAGGACCACGAACAAAGAAGATCTGGAGGCAGAGCACGTCCGCTGGACCTAGGCTCTCTACTATGGCAAACTCCTAGACACAGGGGAAGACTGATGCCAAGACATATGGAGATCTCTAAGAACACAAGGCCCACAGATACTGAAACTACAATCTTCCTCCAGAGAGCGAAAGCGTTTCCCTACAGCTGGTGCTCTGAATTCGGACTTCTAGTCGTCTAAACTTTGAGAGAATAAATTACTGTTTTTAAAGCCATTTACTTGTAGTATTTCTGTTACAGTAACACTAAGTAATTAAAACACATAGCAACTAGTCTTAAGGATGACACTGTTTTGTTCTGTTGTACATAGGGTTGTTGTGAGTAGAACCTACTAAATGACCCCTATACATTTGTTTTTACATATATTATTTCCTTTATCATTGCAATGACCCTAGGAGATACTAGCAAGGGGCAAGTATCAATTTTGAATACAGGTAGAGCTGATTCAAGGGCCATTCAGAAAAATGTCCAAAACAAAAAGCAAACTGTTTCCCCATTTGGCAAAAATGGTACCTTACCCGGACTAGCCTCCCTTCTGTTAATGTATGGTACAGCAGTGATTCCCAAACTTGACCTCTTCTTCAATGATTCTATTTTCTGTGGTCTGAGAAGGGCTCATCTATCCATGGGGAGATCCCTATCTACCTGTCCTTTTTTTTTTTTTTTTTTCTTGCATCTGTAATTAGGATCACAGGATCATCTGGTAGAAAATAATATAGAAGCTGGGGTTAAGACACCAGGGCTAGTTCCTGGCCCTACCACCTACTTGTAGTGTAATCCTTACTCTCTCTGGAATTGTTCCCCACTACAATAACTGAGATAATATCTACTTCATCAATCCCTCCTACATGGGATATTTGCAAGGACAAAGGATATAAAAATACTTAAGATAAAAGAAAAGTGAAAGATGAATTTGAGGGATTTTTTGTTCTATTTTCTCAAATGTATGGAGACCTGGTGTGGCATTGTAGGCTAAGCACTGGACTGCTAACCACAAAGTTGGTGGTTCAAGTTTACCAGCTGCTGTTTGGAAACCTTCTATAGGGTCTCTATGAGTGGGAACTAACTCGTTGGCACTTAACAACATGAGCCAAAGATTTACATTCTGAAGATGTAATGGTTAGCTAGTTTACAAGGACAATAAACCAAGCCAAATTAAACCCACTGCGATCAAATCAATTCCAACTCATAATGACCCTATGACACAGAGTCAAATGATCCCTTAGGATTTCTGAAGGGGCACCTTAAAACAATACACACACACATTGAGATGCAGTATTTTGCCAACTAGCCAGGCCTCCACCTCCATTCACTCATGCCATCAATGTGGAAAACTTTTCTTTGTTAGAAACCTCTTTACTGAGTATATTTTGGGGCCACTTCTGGTGTGGTGCTATAGGTTAAGTACTGTACTGTGAACCACAAGGTCAGCAGTTCAACCCACTAGCTGTTCCTCTGAAACCCTATACAGGGTCCCTATGAGTCGGAACCGACTTGACAGCACTTTAACAACAACAAAAAAGAGTTGTGCAATGTCTTTTGAGTGGCCTGTGACAAAGAGCCCATTGGTGGATTTGAACCACTGACCTTGTGGTTATCAGTCCAATGCTTACCCTACAGCGCCACACTAGAAGTCTTTATTCTGGAGGAGAGGGGATTAAATTTTAATCTGATTCAGAAGGAATTTGTGACTTGCCTCCTTTTCTATTCTTCCTCACTCTCCTCCACCAAAACTCTGGGATCAAAGTTTGGATCTTGAGGTACATCAAAGTAATTGATTCCATTTGAATCTCGAGTCTTAGGGTAAGATAATTACCAGCCCTTCCCCAGAGAATTCTGATCCCCAGGTTTTGTTTTCTCCTATAATCTAGGTAGACTCCTAGTGTGACCCTGTGGGTTAATGTGCTGGACTGCAAACTCAGTTTGGACCTCAAGGTCAGCAGTTCAAACTCACCAGATGCTCCTCGGAAACCCTATACAGGGTCCCTATGCGTCAGAACCACTTAACAATAATGATCTAAGGTGATGTGATTTGCTTCTGAATCAAAGCTTCCCAGGGGGCTAGATCAAACCTTCCTGCAGCTATTCTCACTTCAAAATTCAGGCCATAAAACTCAGGCCAAATTGGCTGTATCTGAATTCTAAGGGCCAACACTGAGATCCTCTGATTCTGCCAAATCCACATTCTCCCACTTTATGCTACATGCCCTTCCCTTACTCCTAAACATCTCCTCTCCTATCAAAACTGCCCTCACTGCTTTGGGCTGTCTGAATATCCTGTGCAATCCTGAATCCTCTGGGAAGAGGTAGGGCATGTTGATTCTAATGAACTAAAACTTGGAAGTGGACAGGTGGAAGGGCAGGGAAAGGACTGGAACAGTTAATGAGAGGCTACAGGGCAGGAGCCGTAGGTTAGACAAACCTCAAGGGCAGAAGTCCAAAGCACTGTTTACACGCTGTGCCCAGCACCCCAAGGCAAACCTCGCCCCGAAGAGCCAAGAGCCAGGGCCAAGGCTCACACTCCACCCAAAGGCAGAGGTGTGGAGAGGGGCACCCTGTATTTCCCTACCTCTCACCCCCGCTTTGGACCCCCTCTGGCTCTGGAGAGGAGTCTTGGTGGCGTGGTGGTTAAACGCTGGACTACTAACCTAAAGATAGCAATCTGCTTCCTTAAAGATTACAACCTTGGGAAGCCTATGGTGCAGTTCTACTTTGCCCTATGGGGTCGCTATGAGTCAGCATCCACTCGACTTCAGCGGGTTTGGTTTTGTTTGGCCTGATTACACCTCTGCCCTAGAGCTTGCTGGCTCTCCCTGCCACCGTCCTAGCCACTGAAAACGCCACCCTAGTATGGAGCAGAAAGGCAAACTTGAACTCATGACCCTTTCACCAAAGCCTATAAAGCAGCGCTACTTTCCCACGCTCCTAGGCCATAACCGAATCGCGAACTCCCACACACATTCCCTCCCAGACTCCTTCCTCTGCTGCTTCCCCCTCCTTTAGCAAGATGGCAACGAGCGCACTTCCGTTGTGTGTCCTCAGGGATGCGTCCGGGCAGCTGCTGCAGGAACCAAGCAGCGGGTTCCGGTGTCTTTGCAGCAATAGACTTAACAGCGATGATGGCGGGTAGACCGTCTGGCTGGAGCCGGGCGGCTATTCTCCAGCTTGTTCTTGGTGTGAACCTGATAGTGATGCCACCCGCACAAGCCCGGAGTTTGCGCTTTGTTACCGTGGTAACGAGAGACGGGGGGTGGGGGGGAGTCACCAGGCGGTTCGCCGGAGCTGGAGAGGCAAAGGCCTAGGGGTGGAAGAAGAGGCTGATGTTAGGGCTCGGGGTCTCAAGGAGCTGGAGGAACTGGTTTAGGAAGGGACGACTAGCCGGGTATTTGGGAGACTGGGTTCAGAAGTGATTGGCACTCTGGGTTATATTGGTCGGGGGAATCTGCCCTGAACAGGGATGTGGTTGAATGGGGACAACTCGCCCCTTTGGTGATCTTTTTTCTGTTTTCCCCCCAGTGAATGCATTGCTTTCTTTTGTTTTGTTTTTTTCCCTTCCCACTGTTGCTTTTGGCTTTGCCTAAGTTTCCCAGTGGCGTTGCTTAGTCAAGTTAGACTTCCCTGGGACCTGGAAGTAGTTATTGATTGCTGAATTGGGGGTCTTTTGCTATGGGTAGAGGGTGAGGTTTCCAGGAGGGTGTGAGCTTCCTTTCTCAGCATAGGGCAGAGGGGGGCTCTGTGCTCCCCATCAAAGGCTTGTAGGCAAATGTTTTTTCTTTCCTCAGTTGTACCGACATGGAGATCGTTCACCAGTGAAGACATATCCCAAGGACCCCTATCAGGAAGATGATTGGCCTCAGGGTTTTGGGCAGCTCACCAAGGTGGGTGGGCACAGCTGTCCCCTTAGGATGGAATAACCTTTGGAGCAGGCTACAGGACTTGGAGCCCCACCAAGCCTGTTTCCCTACAGGGGTGCAAACTGACCTTATATCTTAACTTCACCTTTCTCTAGAAAGAGTTAGCCTTGGTAGTGTTGTAGGATAAGCACAGGACTGCTAACCACAAAGTTAGCAGTTCAAACTCACAGCCACTCCCTGGGAGAAAGATGAGGCTTTCTGCACCCATAAAGATGTACAGCCTTAGGAGCCCTATATAGGGTGCTATGAATTAGAATCGATTCGATGGCAATTGGTTGGTTATTGGTTACCATCCTCTATGCTGTGACCAGGATGGTGCCACACACAACTGGCCACTTAAGAAGAAGTGATTTCTGAGTCAGATGAGCACACTCTTCCTTCCAGTCAGGGTTTAGACTTGGAAAGCAACAGTGCCTAAGCTTCAGTGAGCTTTCGAGCCATCCTTGCCCCTTGGACCCTCTTAACTCTTGGTTTTATCCACAGGAGGGGATGCTTCAGCACTGGGAGCTGGGCCAGGCTCTGCGGCAGCGCTACCAAGGCTTTCTAAACACCTCTTACCACCGGCAAGAAGTAAGGCTTAGAGCTCAGGAGGCAAAGGGAGTGGGACCTGCCATCCCCCTCCTCTGTCCTGTCCTCAGGGAACCCCACAGTGAGGCTGGACACTCAGGCCTTTATCCTGCATTTTTGGTTACAACTATAGGACAAAACTTGAACAAAACCTTAGAGATCAAGTTGTGCCTGCTGAGCTGGGACAGGAAAATCAGATCAAGTATTCAAGCTGGGCCATGAAGAAGTAGTTTCTGACTCTGTGAAATAATATAGGGGCTTCCATCCATGGAGTACCTGATTGATTGATTATGTGCCATGGAGTCGGTTCCGACTCCTAGCGACCCTGTACAGGGTTTCCGAGTCAGTCTATAAATCTTTACAGGAACAAAAAGCCTCATCTTTCTACCATGGAGCAGCTAGTAGTTTCAAACTGCTGACCATGCAGTTCACAGCCCAATTCGTAACCACTATGCTATTAGAGCTCCTTGTGAAGGCTTAACCACTGTGGTAGTCTAGCACCTTGCATACAGTAGTGCTGCACTGATAAGATTGGTGTCTGCATGGAACTTAGACTGTAATGGAAGCATCCAATAAGAAACCAGGAAGGCCGAGCAATAAAGGATAACACGGTAGACTGATGTAGATAGGAAACATCAGGGAATACTGGCAGGTAGCTGGCCTCATCTCCTCTCCTCTTCTCTCCTCACCTTTCTTCACCCCAGGGATGGAATAGCTGTTCCCCTGGTTACCACCCTCTACCAAGCTGCCTCAAGAGTATTTAGATGTATGTAATTATTCTTTCATTAAGGAGCTCTGGTAACGTAGTGGTTACGAATTGGGCTGCTAACCTCAAGGTCGGCAGTTTGAAACCACCAGCTATTCTGCAGGAGAAAGATGGCTTTCTGCTCCCGTAAAGATTTGCAGCCTCAGAAACCCTGTGCAGGGTCAGTATGAGTCACAACCGACTCCACGGCACTTGTCAGCAACTCTTTCATTGGAACGCAGCCTACGATCTGATTTTGCCCTGCTCCATGGTTTCCTCTTGCCTTTTCACAGGCAGCTATCTCTGTTTTTTATCTTATTTCCTTTCCCTGGTCTCTAGGCCAGTTTATACAAAGGGTGGGGGGTAATTGGAGACAGTTCCTGTCCTCAGGACCCTGGTCTAGATAGGGAGACAGGTGTGGTTATAAAGTCAGCCAGATAGACCTGAGAGCCTGACTAAGCACTTTGATGGAGGAGGAGCCACGGAGCTAGAACCAATCCTTCAGGGAGTTCAGAGTGCTGACAGCCCCCAGCTGAGTGTTCAGGCCTTTGCTGGGAAGAGGCTTGGAAAGGCTGGAGAAAGGGAGAGGGCCTGGGCTTACAACAGCTGGGTAACCCTTGGGGCTTCGCTGAGCAGCCAGAGCTTGCCTCATGGTGGTATTGCCATTTCTGCAGGTTTATGTGCGAAGCACAGACTTTGATCGCACCCTCATGAGTGCTGAGGCCAACCTGGCCGGACTCTTCCCTCCCGACGGCATGCAACGCTTCAACCCCAACATCTCGTGGCAGCCTATTCCTGTCCACACTGTGCCTGTCGCTGAGGACAGGGTAAGACTGATCAGCCCGTCCCCTGGAGGTGGAGAGGGGAACACCTCTGACCTTGGGCCTGCTGATCCCTGACTCCTTCTGTGCTTCGGTTTGCAGCTGCTGAAGTTCCCATTGGGCCCATGTCCACGCTATGAGCAGTTGCAGAATGAGACCCGGCAGACACCAGAGTATCAGAATGCGAGTACCCAGAATGCAGTGAGTGGGGCTGAGTGCTGGTCATCACATCAGACTGCCCTGTCTCCCAGGGCAGGACTGACCCTTGCTCCATTTCTCATAGCAATTTCTGGACATGGTGGCCAATGAAACAGGATTGACTGACTTGACGCTGGAGACTGTCTGGAACGTCTATGACACACTCTTCTGTGAGGTAAGCCCACTTACCGCTGCTGCCTCCCACCCCAGCTGGCCTTGGTCACAGGACTAGTAGAACTAGTGGCTGGCTACTACTCCTACTGGGGAGATCCAAGCAGACTACTGCTTTTGAAACACGGGAACTTCCCTCACGAGTGAAAAAACCTCAGAGCGGGAAATGGTTTCTGAATTGTCAGCAGTTCCTAGTCCTCTCCACCCAGAGCTCTCGTGGTATTGGACTCTGTTCTGCCAAGTCACTCTTTTTGTGCCTGTGCCCTGCACCATGCCTACTGTTCGAGGCCCTGTGCCTCACATCGTCTCCCCTTCCCCTCACACACACAGGCACCTTCCCACTGGGGAAGAGAGCTACCCTGGGAGGGCTTGGCCTGGTGGGCCTGTGTCGCTAACCTGCCCGCTGCGGTATGCAGCAAACACATGGGTTGGTCCTGCCGCCCTGGGCCTCCCTCGAGACCATGCAGCGTCTGAGCCGGCTCAAGGACTTCAGCTTCCGCTTCCTCTTCGGGATCTACCAGCAAGTGGAAAAGGCCCGGCTACAGGGGGGTGAGTGACAAGAGCAGCATGTCACTCCCTTTCTCAGGACCTGATGGCGGCAAGAGTCTGCTAATGGGAGCACCTCACACACCTGAAATGTTTACTACCCCCAGTCATCCCCCAGAGGTCACCAGGCTCCCAGTTTCCTCAGTGCTTAGCACATATGTCCATGTGGCCATATCAGTTTTGCATGCTGCTTTTCTGCTGCTCACCTGCTAAGTTTCCCTTATGTTAAAACCTCACCCTCTCCTCAAGCCTCCAGAGAACCACTGGGGGCCGTTCTGAAAGGAGGCGGAGGTAAAAGACATGCCCCTTTTCTGATTTGAGCACCCCAGGAGTGCCAGCCACCAGGCCTTTCTGACGCCTCAGTAATTAATCCAGAGCCACACAGAGCTTGGAGCTATCATCTCAACAGGAGGAATTCTTCAAACCTGGGAAGAGCCTCATAGCTCATTTATAAAGGGGCAGGTCTCTACCCCTGTGAAGACACGTGAGATAGAAGAAAGCAGGGGGTGCCCTCGAGCCGCTCCGGAGTGCCCAGGAGCCGACAGACCCAGGGCTAGCAGAGCTGGAGGGAACCAGTTAGCTGTGATCAGACAATAATGATGACCTTAGCCACCAACACGGGCTCTCCTCCTTCAGGAGTCCTGCTGGCTCAGATACGGAAGAACCTGACCTTGATGGCAGCCACCTCCCAATTCCCTAAACTGCTGGTTTACTCTGCGGTAAGCTCCCATACACCCCAGCATGCTGATGTCAGACAAGGAGCTGGATGTCCTTTCTTCAGTTCTAGGGTGCGGAGGAGCACTTATGATGACCACCCCCTCCTTTACAGCATGACACTACTCTGGTCGCTCTGCAAATGGCGCTGGATGTCTACAACGGGGAGCAAGCCCCTTACGCCTCCTGCCACATCTTTGAACTTCACCAGGAAGATAATGGGTGAGGGGCTACCAGTCTGCCCTCGAGAACAGCTCCTGGGAAGTGGTTGAGGGCAAATCACTCCTCCCGTAAGTGACCCAAGGGCTCAGTGCCTGGCACGGTACTTAGTTCTCATCTTGCCAACTCTCAACCTTCAGGAATTTCTCAGTGGAGATGTACTTCCGGAACGAGAGTCATAAGGCCCCCTGGCCGCTGATTCTGCCTGGCTGCCCTCACCGCTGCCCACTGCAGGACTTCCTTCGCCTCACAGAGTCTGTTGTGCCCAAGGACTGGCAGCAGGAATGCCAGCTGACAAGCAGTTCTGCAGACACAGGTGAGCTGCTGCCCGTCTTTGAGCTGGTCGTATCCTAGACCAGCTTTAAATGTCTGTCCACTAATCTTAAATGCCACCTCACTGCATTTATTTAAGATGCTGAGGCCATTTTACACCGTCTTCCAACGCCACACGCTCAGGGGATTCTCTCACTGAGTAAATAAAAACAGGCAGGAGAGAACCGTCTTGCTTTCTACCATCAGGTGGGCCAAATCACCTTTGTGCCCCCCTTTGTGTTGCCCTCAGGTGGTGAACAACCCCCTACTTCAGGTCACCTCTCACGTGTACTCTGGGTTCCTCTCTCCCCACATCCTCAAGGATCTCTGATGCCTGAGTGTTTCCCTCTCTTCTGGACCCTCCCATCTTATTTGCTTAGCAAACACCTCTTTCTCCCTCAGCCCTTCTCCAGCCCCCCATTCCTTTTCTTTGTGCCCTTCTGGCATGAAATCCTTGAGTTGCCTGGCCTCCATTCCTCATTCATCCTCAAAGACTCGATTTTAGACAGCTTGTCACCTCTCACTCCAATGAAGCCACTCTTGTTGGGATGACCAATGATTGTAGCCACTTCCTCTCACCTAGCATCATTACGTCACTGGTCACTCTTTACTTCAGCACTCCCTTAGCTTCTCCTGATTTTGCTGCTAATTTATAGGCAGTTAGCTTGTTGGCGTCTCCTCCCCATTGAGTCCTGGCCCTTTCCCCATCTATGCCCAGCCCCATGGTGTCATATTCCTCCTTGCTGAGTTCACCTTTACGTTGTGACTTACAGATTCACATCTCCAGCCATGACTTGTCTGACCTATAGGTCACCAAGTCAGTTCCGATTGATAGTGACCCTGTATAGGGTTTCCAAGGCTGTAAGTCTTTATGAGAGTAGAAAGCTTTCTCTTTCTCCATAGAGTAATCTCTCCAGCTACGAACCGGAAGTCTCAGCCTGGATGTCCAATAAGGCATCCAAAGTAATTATGTCTGAAACCAAATACCTTTCCCTCCCAATCTACTCTTCTTCCTGGTAGCCCCTTAGTAAATGCCATATCCTAGTTACCTACGGCATAGGATAGCCCAGAAGTTACTTAGACATCCTCTCTCTCACACCCCACCTCTAACCCACCAGCCCAATCAACTTAGCCGTAGCCTGGTGTACCATCATCTTGTCTCTGAACTGCCAAAAGCCTTCTGAAGATTTTTCAGATCGTCTTAACCCTGTTACTTTCCCACCACAGGAGAGCTAATTTAAAAAAAAAAAAAACGTTTTATTGTTAAACACCTAAGTTTGGTCATCACTACCTTCCTCTGAATCTTCAGTGGGTTGTTGTCACATTTGGAATAAAATGTGACAACATTTTGGAATAAAATTTATTCTTGTCACATTTGGAATAAAATGTTGTTGTCACATTTGGAATAAAATGTGACAACATTTGGAATATAATTTATACTTGTCCCGACTGGACGCTGTCCTTGCACCACACTTTTGTGCTCTCCCAAAGACTATGACTCTGATAGTCCTAGAACATCCTAAGCATTTTCTCACATCTGGGCCTTTTGTACTTCCTGTCCCCACCCCTCCCAGCACATGCCTTCCTTCAACCTGGGCCTTCTCACTAACTTCAGGCATGTCTCTGTTCACATCGCTGCGGCCTCCATGCTTCCCACCCTGACTGATCTCCCTGGCCGTCATTTTCTCCTCGTGTAGTTTTTCTTTACGGCACCGTCAGACCAGCTGGTTTCCTGGGCCACCTCTGCTAGAATGGGAGCTCCAGGCTTTGTGGGAGAGCTACCTGGCATCCAGTGGGAGCGTAGCAAGCTGGCGGGTATATGCTGACATTACCTTTCTCCTTCCCTCCTTCCCTACCCGTCCTCAGAAGTGATCGTGGCCTTGGCCGTCTGTGGCTCCATCCTCTTCCTTCTCATAGTGCTGCTCCTCACCGTCCTCTTCCGGATGCAGGCCCAGCCTCCTGGCTACCGCCACGTCGCAGATGGAGAGGACCATGCCTGACAACCACTCAGCCCGCTTCCTTCTGCCTCCTAAGGGGAGGTGGGCTGCTCCCCAGCCTATGGACAGGAGACCCAGGGTTGGGCTTCTTTCTGATGACCCTCTAACCTGATGAACAAATGGGGCTGGGGTGGGCCCCAGGCACCTGTCACTCAGCGTTCATGTGCCTGATGTTTTTACCAAGTACTGTCCTGGACATTGGCTTCCTCCAAATAGGATTTGCCTCTTCTAAGGGTCTGAGATGCAGGCAAGTGTTCAGGTTCCACTCAGGACCTGGGACAAAACCCCTGAAGGAGTTGATACATGGTCTGCTCTGCTCCTTCGTTGAGCCCGGCACTTTGTCAGTGGGTGTCTAGCAAATGACTCAGAGGACACAGTCTCGCCTCTCAGTGCTTATTTCAGTGGGAGAATGATAAACACCAGCGGGTGTAATGTGGCTATCAAGGAAGCGGATCGTCCAAGAGCCGACCGGCCACGTTTTCCTTTGCCCCCCAGCAATCATTGGTGTATGTCAGGCGGGTCTGTACCCCTTCAGCTTGAGCAGGTCTGAGGGTTTTGTATCTGGTGAGGGCGGGGTGAGTTGGCACACAGGGTCCTGAGGCTACCAACCCTGTCAGCTGGGCTTGCCAGGGACCTGAGGTAAATGTAGGTTGTGAGTCTTGACGGCTCTAGTCTGTGGTCCAGAATGGATAGAAGCAGGTGTCAGAAAATGAAAGTTTGGGACACTTAGTGTTGTTTCTGTGCCTTGTCTTCATTTCTGGGACCCACAGAGCCCTGTGACCAGGTCAGTGCTAAAAGATCCACTCAGCAGTTCTTACTGATTTGTTTTATTGGCTATGTTAGTAGCAAGAATAAACTGTAAAAACATTACCCATAATCACCCTGCGTCTGCACATCAGAGAAAAGAAAAGTTGTTCAGCTCCAAGATAGAGCATGCAGGACCCTTCTGGAACTCGGTCCAGAGCAGCCACATGCCGGTCCCAGTCCCACAGTTCCCTCACGTCATAGTGCTCAGCTCCAGCCCTAAGATGTGCATGCTTCTAGCCCTGCTCCAGCCAGCCATCTCTCCTCAACAGGGCACATTCTTATTTGTGTCTCCAAGCCCTTGGTTGGCACACACTGATGTCTTTTGCTTCTGTATCCCAGCTTCCTCCTGGGTCCAAATAAGAATGTGGTAACCTAGGAGGAGAGAGATCAGACTTGGATTTTCCATTACCAGTCTGACCCAGAGGATCTAAGACTTTGTATAGAGATATGAAATTGGGCAGTAACCACACACTGCCATGATCAAGATAAAGCAAGAGGGAGAGAGGGCTTAGGCCAAAGAGATGGATCCCAGCTACCTTGTTTACCGGCAGCACAGGTGAATGTGACAGGGTTAAGCTGAGGTTAGTGACCCCGAGGGAATGGGGTTAGGGCTGGCCAAACTGAGGGGACAGATCTTGCTCCTACTCACCCATCACAGAGGCCAGTGTGTCGCCCATGGGGTTGAACTCATTGAGCTGCAAAGATGAGGAGGGAGTGAAGGTATTGGCAGAGCCAGAGAACAGACAAGGACTAGTTTCTGGTCACTTTTGGTCATTACAGTAGATGGAGTCCTTTTTCCCACCCCACCCCACCCTTCATTATTCCAGGGCTCAAGTCTCACCGAAAAAATACCAGAATATTTTGGGTCATAGAGTTGACACATCATCTTCCCTGAGTTTCCATCAAACACATCGATCGTCCTTAATTCATGGGGAGTACAGCTTTTGAAATTTGGATCTGGGTACCGACCCACAACAATGAGGTTATATCGAGGATGCCAGGTTGCCTAGGAGATGGAGAGGATGGTCACGAGAGTAAATTTAGACCATTATCAAGAGGGACATCAACCAAGGCAGCAATTTCACAGTGAAGATGAGACCCACATGAAACTACAAGGTAGTTTTCAGTCGTATGTGCATCTACCGTTGCTGACTTCCAGGGTACCATTTGGCCTTTTCTGCATTTCCTGGACTTGGACCAACTGATGTACTAAAACATTAACATCAGCCCGACCCAGACAGAAACCCAAAAGGTCAGCCTCTCACAAAGCAAAAAGCCTGGTGATCAAGATAAATAGGACATGAGTCATAAAACCACCCCACTACTACTATTCTTTCTCCCATCAATGTGGACAATTAAGAGTGAAGGACAAAAGAGCTAGTAGTGGCTATAAAAGGAGGACAGAAGGCAGAATTCCATGTTCCCAGCTCTTCCCATACAAATGAATCTGGTGGTTATTGGAATGACAGAAGTTGGATGGGATTTTCCTAAGAAAATGTTTTGAAGCTTTAAGGAGGAAAGACATGGCTAGCAGAAAGGGACAAGTGACACAAGCAAGTCATACATGGGAAGCTGTAAACTGGCCAGGCTGAGGACCAAGAGCCAATGGGATGCAGTGGGAACAAGGACAGATGGATCAGTGGGAGCACCAACTGGTGAAGGATCTGTGAATAGTATTATTAAGAGTTGGGATTCAACTTAAAGTACATGGGGACCACTCTTAATACCAAACCACTTCCATTTACTGAGTACTTCCCAAGGGCCAGGCATGCTGCTGCATGAGTGAGTGCTTTAAGTATACCGATTCGTCCTCATAGTTACTATGATTCTCTTTTTCACAGATGGGGAAACTGAGACCCAAAGGTTAAGTAAGTTGCTCAAGGATTCTAGAACAGCCTGAAGCAGGTGCCCCCCTATCACCACTATGCCATAGTGACAAAAGTGCAGGTTTTAGAAAAGAATCAAAAGGCACTAAAACAAAACTAGCTGCACACTGAACAGGACCTTGGGCAAGAAGGAATCGGCCTTGAAGGCTGTGAACCTTGGGGACTAAGGACAGAGAAGCCATTACAAGAAAACGGAAGAGATGGGAAAATAAGGAACTTAGTTCTAACATTAGAAACCACCTTAGCCTGCAGGCCATACTAAGAAGGTTAAGAATAGTTTGTGGAATCAACTGCATCCACTAGTAACTAAGAACATGAAAGGACAGAACAAGAGACTCAGGGTCTTAGACAATGCCTAAACCTATCGCCTTTGTGGGATTGCAGATGGAGAAAGGAAGAGAGAGCCAGAAGGATGAGGCTGTTTTGTGTTGGGACAGGAAGGTAGGTGTCTAGGACTCCAGGCTTACCATCTCTGCTCCTCACCCCACAGGCCAACCCCAGGATCACAGCTCCCTTGCCTCTCACCTTGATGGGTGTGAGGTGCTGGAAGTGGCGGTGAGGGTGCGGGATCAGCCCCAGAGGGCAGTCCCACTGGGAGGTGGCGTAAACCCGGATCTCGTTGTTCTGGTCAGTGGTCAGGAGCCGGGCTCCATCAGAGCTGAAGCAAGCTGGTGAAACAAGAGGCTGCCAAGCTGAAGGACCCTGAGCCCCCAGTTGTCCAGGCCTTCACAGGCCTTGTGCAGGACACCTGCCCTCCTACCCTCTCTGGACAGAGTGGTAGGAAAAAGATGGACCTGAGCTGGGAACCAAAATTTTTAACCTGGCAGCTAGCGCCAGAAAGGTCCCAAGGCATCAGTGTGACTGATGCTACCAGGGCAGAAGGTCTGACAGCAGCTGGGAAACCTGGAGGGAAAGTTGCAGGAGCGGATGGCTGGGCAGGGTCTGTGGGGAAGACAAAGGTTGGTATGTCACACCTGCATTGACAGGATGCCTGTGCGTCAGCGAGGACAGGAAGCTGGATTTCCCTCTAACCTGGCGCAGATCCCAGATTTTCACTGTTTGATCTACGGAGGCTGTGGCCAGGAGCCAATCACAGCATGGGTTCAGGGCCACATGGGCCACTTTCTTTTTGTGCAGTCTGAGATTCCACAGCTGCAGAGGAGAGATAGATGGTTCAGGTGGGAGCACAGACCCCAGGTTGAGGGCGAGGAAGGGCTTGAGCTACGGGAACGCACCTCCTTGCCGTCCATGTTCAGCAGGATCACTTTCCCCGCATTGTCTCCTGTGACCAGTACTCGGCTCCTAGCAGACACATCCAGACAGCAGAACCAGAAGCTGGAGGGGAGATTGTCCTGTGAAGCTCTTGGAGACTTGGGCGCGGGCTCCTTATATACTGTGGCAGCTCCAGTGTCTAACAAACTATTGTTAAGTGCCATCGATACTCATTTAATAAACATTTGTAGAATAAAAAGATGTCTTGTCGTGGATTCCCAAGGAGGAACACACAGATTTGTCTATCATCTACACAGAGGGTTTGAGGGTGCTGAGGCCCAGAAGTTTGTCTAGTTACTGCTGGACCCAGGATCCTCAGCTTTGAAGAGTCTCTAAAGCAGCCACATCTCAGAACCATAAGGCAGGTACCCAAGCTAGCTTCCCCCTAAAGCCCCAGGTTGTATCTGACCTCTCCCCTCACTCTCTAACCTTTGAGTGAAAAGTAATGATGATACTGACCAAACAGACTGCCCAGCTCTGGTCCTCAGACCTGGCTGAAAAGGAACTTCTGCCCCCTTCTGAGCATGGAGGGAAACTACATACAAAACCCAGAAGCTCAAGCTTGCTCTTTACTCCTTGAAGTACTTCCAGGAACCTGATACCCAGCCAGAACTCATTCACACTGGACTCTCAAATACATGCTACACCGTCTCTTGTTAAGTTTTAATCCATACAGATACTGTATAGGGTTTCTGAGGAGCAACTGGTGAGCTTGAACCACCGACCTTGTGGTTCAAACTGACTTTGCAGTCCAGCGCATTAACCCACAATGCCACACCAGGACTCCAACACTGTCGCTTGCTCTCTATTAATGAGCAGGAGGGTGTCTCATAAAGGCTAACCACGTGTGTATCCAGTCACCTGTCCTGGTTGCATATATGCTGCTTACTTCCATGGAACAGCCCAGCACAACAGCCAATACTAGTCAGACCCCAACCCTTAGACAGGGAGCACCTAGAATGAGGTCTCTGGCTAGAAATCAAAGTGGCAAGCTTTTTGCCATTTCTCCAGCCATCTGCTCTTACTAAATCAAGGCTCTAGTCAGCGAGGAACAGGTTAGGTTATTATACCTAACTGAATGTAGGGAATTTAAATTCTTAGCGATTGCTCCAGCCTCTAAGAGGCCTTCTAGACCAATTCCACGCTGTCAGGTTAGAATCAAAGTCTAGTCTAAAATATTAGGTGTGACTGAAACAGGAGTCCTGGTGTAGTGCTGTAGGATCAGAACTGAACTGCTAACCTCGAGTTGATGGTTCAAACCCACCAGTCACTCCTTGGAAACCCTATCCACAGGCATTATGAGTGGGAATCAACTCAATGGCACTGAACAATGTGACTGAGAGAAGGACTGAAGTCCTTCCTTTGCTGAGGAGAACTGAGGCTCCAGAACATCTCCCACCTGGATCAAAGTAAGGGCACCCAGAGAGTGAGTGTTCAAAAAACAAAGGACATTACAATGAATGTAAAGCTAATGTTCTCCCATGTAAACTATCACATGATTCACAAAACATTTAAAAATAAAAAGAATACAAGAATGTTAATAAAAATGTTCACAATACTTTACAGTTTTCAAATATATATATATACATTTTTAAGTTAAAAACAAAAAACAGAAGGAAGGGTGGAAAGACTAACTCCTTCCCCTCCCTCCCTGTGCCAGGTTTAGGAAGAGGAAACAGGATGGGAAAGCTCTCACCATAACTATGCCTAAAGCCTAGAAGCCCTTTCCCCTACTGGTTAAACTACTCACTTGCAGGTGCCTGAGCTGCAAAAAACCCGGAGAGTGTTGCCTGTAAAGTCTTGCAGCCTAGTTGTCCCCTCCAGGGAGGAGGTAAAAAACTGGTTGGTATTGAGAGGGTTAAACTTCAGCCCTGTGATGCTGCCTCCAGCGCCAATCTGTCAGGAAAGAAAAAGCCAGTGAATGGAGATGATCAGGACACGAAGCAGACCAGCAGGCCCTGCCCACAGAATCGCTTCAGCCAGCGCTAGATGCCAGGTCAGCCTCTAGTGTCTAGAGACTCCGACACTCTCCACAGTACTTCTGAAAAATTAACCTTTACTTTAGACTTCAGATGAACATACAGTAAAATAGTCCTTTTTCTTGGTGTAAAGTTCTATGAAATTTGACATATGTATAGATTCAAGGAAGGACCACCAAAATCAGGATGCAGAATAGCTCCACTGGCCTCCAAAACTCCCTTACACTCTCCTGTTATAACCATGCTCCTCTCACCCCAAACCCTGGCAACCACTGTTGCCCATCACTGCAGTTTTACAGAATGTCATATAAATGAGATCATACGTGTGTGACTTTTGAGACTGGCTTCTTCCACTCCAGACAATACCTTTGAGAGTCATCCAAGTTGTTCCATGTATCTGTAATTGTCTTGCTGAGAATTATTTCATTGTGTAGATGGACTGTGGCTTGTGGATCGCACAGTGCTCTTCCTAGAAGAGCTTGCACTTGGACCAGTGGCTGGATTAGAACAGTGTGACTTGTATCGGGGTTCCGTCCTATTCTTCCTGACATCCCCCACACAAGGATGATAGGGAGAGTAATGGTAACCTCAGTGGCTTAAACTTACTGCTTATTATTTACCAGTCTGTTATAAGGAGTCTGGTAGCGTAGTGGTTAGAAATTGGGCTGCGAACCTTAAGGTCAGCAGTTCGAAACTACCAGCTGTTCCGTGGGAGAAAGATGAGGTGTTCTGCTCCCGTAAAGATTTACAGCCTCGGAAACCCTGTGCAGGGTCGCTACGGGTTGGAACCGACTCGGGTTGGATTGGAACCGACTGGACGGCACTTAACAACAACAACAACATAAAAACTTTACATTTCCAAGAGCTCCTTCTGCTGCTGCTATCCCAGCCTCAAAGACCCACACAAGGTCTTTCAAACAATGGCTACTTAATCAACGCAAATGGTACTTAACCAAATCTAACTGGAACTTGGCATTCACTCTAAATAGAACATTCTAACCAATACCCAGTCTGCTAAACCCTTACTACTAGCAAGACAATCATCTGTTCCTACCATCTGAGTTCCATGCTTACCAAGAGTTAGTTGTGTTTGTTTTTAACTCTTTTTATGCCATTCTGCTTTTCATTTTAATATGACATTTAATTAAACATGTAAACCAATGGAATGTGTGCAAAAAAGAAAGGCTGCTGTTATTTCTTGTTGAATTTCTTGTTGGAAAACCTAGATTACAATGTGCTGCTGACAATAACAGGCTGTATAAATAAATAAAAATTGCTTGTCAAATTAAGCATGGGTGATAAAATAGTGTGGGAAATGAGCACTTAGGAAAAAAATTTTCAATCAGATTGCTTCACAAGTATCTCTAAATGATCTTTCCATCTTAGAAAAACCCTATAAATAATGCATTGTGGGTGTGGTTTATGGAAGAACAAGTGAACCCTAAATCAGTGGATCCATACTCCAAGAAAAGGGGTGACTTTACTTCAAAACATTTGTGAAAACACACACATTGTTCAGTCAGAATATATAGGTTGCTCCCCTGCTGGTAATGACAGGTTAAGTTGTGATAACCAAACTCTTGCACTAAGAAGGACTAGAAAAGCTGGACAGTTTAAAAAAAAAAAAAAAATCAAACGGAATGACAAAAAGACAACCCTCTCAAAAAATGGACAAAGGGCTTTAGAATACACATTTCATCAAAAAGAAAGTACAAAATAGCAAACATGCACATGAAAAGATACTCAATGTCCTAAGTCCTTGTTGTTATGTGCCACTGAGTCACTTTTGACTCACAGCAACTCTATATAGGGTTTCCAAGGAGTGCTGGTGGCTTTGAACCATTGACGTTGCAGTTAGCAATCCAGTACTTATCCTATAGCACAACAACAGATTCCAAAATAAGTGGTCAAATCATGGTGTGAACCTGGTTTGGACTGACCCCGAAGCCCAGGCTCTCATCCACTCAGGAGATGCAAATCCAAAGCATCAGCAGGTACTCCACCTCAGCCTCATTACAGTGGCGATGCCAAAAATTTAAACAAAAACAGAAAACACTAAGTGTTAATGTGGATGTGGAGAAATCAAGACCCTTATCTATTACTAGTGGGAATGTAAAATGCTAAATAAAGCCTCTGTGGGAAACAGAGCAATCCCAGTGCTAGATCTAGGCCCACAACATTGGGAAGCAGACACACAAAAGAAATGAAAGCAGGAAAACAGACAAAAACCTACACACCAAAGTTTATTGCAGCACTCTTCACCAAAGTCAAAAGGTCACAACAACTTACATGTCCACCAACAAAATGATTGCTGTCATTGTTGAGTGCCACTGAGTCGGTTCGGACTCACAGCGACCCTGTATAGGGTTTCTAAGGAGTGGCTGATAAGCTTGAACTGCTGACCTTGTGGTTCAATCCGACCTTGCATTGTAGCGCATTAACCCACAGCACTACACCAGGACTCCAACAAAATTATTACAGAAACAAAATGTGGTATACACATACAACAGAATGTTGTCCCACCGTAAAGAAGAAATTAAGTCTTGGTACATACTTGTACCAAGTATGAGGATGAACCTTGAAAATATGCTGAGTGAAATAAGGCAAGTCACAAAAGGGCAAATAAATGATTTTGCTGATAAGAAACAGCTAAATGCAGAGACCAAAGCTTAGTATTGATGACCAAGCATGGGATGGAGAGAAAGAGAGAATCATTGCTTAGAGGACCCAGAATTTTGGTTAATGGTAGTGGAGTAATTGGGAAAATAACAGTGGTAATGGTTGCACATGATGAACATACTCCACGTCACTGAATCACACATGAAAAAATTACTGAATTGGCAAATTGTCATTAAATATTTTCACCACGATGAAAAACAAATCTATGTGAGATTTCCAATTCCAGTAAGGTGGGTGATCTTGTGTCAAATCAACTTTCTGTCAAGAACTAGGAAAGTTGGACTGAATATGAATATGTATCTTTAAAGAAAAGTGTTTGTTTTTGTTTTGTTTTTTTCAGGCATTAGAGAGCTCTCAAGGCAGCCAGAATTTAAAGGCCAAGATCTGGAGAGAAGCAGACCAGAGAGGTAAGCCTGACCCTTGGAAGCTGCTTTTCACTTTGAGGCATATGCAAATTAGAAATGGGTGGCTTAACAGAGATACCAAACTGCAGGGAAGCAGAACTGATTCGGTGGTGGCAAAAAGGCTATGCAGCTGTACAGAGGTTCTGTCTCACAGGCTAACCTAACCAACTGCCATCAAGTTGACTCCAACTCAGGTCACCACATGTGTGTTAGACTAGAACTGTGCTCCCTGGGTTTCAATGGCTGTGACCTCTTAGAAGTAGACTGCCAGGCTTTTCGTCCGAGGTGAACCTCTGGCCTTGCTGAGTGCTGATTTGTTTGAGCCACTCAAGAACTCCTTTCACAGAGCCAGAAGGGGGAAGAAACAAAAAAACAATCCCCAAAAAACTGGAGTACGGACTTACCAAGGAGAAGAAGTCTTGGGGAAATAAAAATCTAGCTTTTAGTTAATAAAGGCAAAGTCTTACAAAGAGTGAAATTAGTTTCAAATAATTTCAACCTCTGAATAGACTAAGGTCTCAATAACAGTGATTAAACTCTAGTAAGACTGACTAGGGAAAAAAGAGAAAAGACACAAATTACCAGTACCAGGAATGTGAGCGAAGATGTTACTACAGACACAACAGACAGTCAAAGAATAATGAGGGGCAGCTTTGTGCCAATACATTCAGCAAGTTAAATAGACAAATTACCTGAAATATATAATCTACCAAAGTTCATTCAATATAGATAGATAACCTAAGTATCCTTTATGCATTATAGAAATTTAATTTATGGTTAAAAACCGACCTACAGTGACAACTCCAAGTTAGAGGGATTTGCTAGTAAATTCTACAATTAAAGGGAGAAATCAGATCGATTCTATACCAATTCTTCCAGAAAATAAGAAAGGAAAGAAAACTTCCCAACTTACTTTATGAGACCAGCATTACTCCAACACCAAAACCAATGGCATTTACAAAAACAAAAATGACAGGCTAGTTTTAAATGGTCACCATCTGGTATCAACGTATAGTTAAATGAGAATATTTGATGTAATATAATAGATTCTAGTATAAAACATTTATATTTAACAATGGAAGTAGGAAGATGGGTGTGTATAACAGTGTATCCGTGCACAGAGATACCAAAAACGCCATTCACCAAAAGGTTAATAGTGCTTATTCCTGAAAAGTGGGATTTCAGGTCCTATTTATTTTACTCTTTATGGTTTTCTCTGTATTGTCTGAATTTGCTTACAATAAGCACCGAAAATTCTTTTTTACAAGAAAACATAAAGCCGTCTTCATTTTCAAATGTTCCCTTACCCAGGACCTGAAAGATGCAAAGATAAGAGCCAAGGTCAGATGAATTAGGAAGTTGTTGCCCGAGTCTCACTGGTCTCAAGCCCACCTTCCGTTGTCAGCATTTGCAAGCAAAAATCATTTTCCTCCAGACTACCCGCCCAGTCAGTCATTAAGTTCAACCTCCCAGATCAATCTTCACTACAGTGTGAGAAAGCTTTTAGTGTGTTTGATGAGAAGAAACTTTAGTTACATGCATGTTATCAAAAAGAAAAGGTGATGCAAACCAAAAGCAGTGTTGACCTGGCACAAGTTTAAAACCACTGATCAAGTTCCTGTTGAGTCAGAGTCTCTTTCCTTGCACACCCTTGCCACCTCCATGTTTAGACTAATTTTTCTATTCCCATGTTCTGGATTCCTAGAAAGACAAATCTTATCCTGACTTCAGTCATCTGGGTTCTGACTTCAGTTGAAAGCTGCCATTTTAGTCATCACCTGCCCTAGCAGCAGGGCAGGAAACCCACTGAGCTCTGTCTACAAGCCCTTCATCTGGCTGCCTTGCTCTGGCTTCAGGCACTTGTTTTCAACAACAGCACATCTTATATCTCGAAATGGAATCTCCCAAACCTGTCAAATCTGCTCTTTTCTGATGGGCTGTTGGCCAACCTCCTCCACGTAGAGACTGCATCCTGGATTCACCCAGGCCTCCTCCAGCTCTAAACCAGAGATGGCAAAATGGGCAGCTCCAGCTGAATCTGGCTTATACTCCTGCTCTATTGAGCCTACAGAGTGTTTCATTGTTTTTGTTGCCAACAGAAATTTTCATCTAAAAAAACTCAGAATTTCAAACTTCACTTAAAAAAAATTGTAATTCTTACAGAGCCCCTATAACACAACACGGGCCAATTCAAGACTTCTCACGTGTACAAGTCAGGGATGCTAATTACATTCATAAGCATCCCTGGTGACACAGTGGTTAAGGGCTCAGCTGCTAAGTGAAAGGTCAGATGTTTGGAGGGACCAGCGCTCCACAGGAGAACATTGTGGCAGTGGGCTTCCATAAGGATGGCAGCCTGGGGAATCCGACAGGGCAATTCCACTGTGCCCTACAGGGTTGCTTCTCAATTACAATCAATCCATGGCAATGAATTTTGGAGGTTCTGGAGGATAAGCACTGGTCTGCTAACCTCAGGATTGATAGTTCAAACCCACTCGTCACTTCTTGGAAACGCTATACAGGGTCGCTATGAGTCATGCTGTTATATACAACTATCACCAGGACCTGTTGCCAAATTTTCCATGATCATTAACAGAAACACAATGCTTCTCCCTTCCTCCCTCCCATGGTCACTCCTGGTCACCATCAATAAACTCTGGGATTGCCATTCCTCCATGACAACCAGTTCCCTGCAGTGTCTCCTTCACACTGACCCCCACATTCCTCATTTCTTTGGTAGGTCTATGAGTTGATGACCCCTGCTCTAAATCCGGTGTGCCACTTTTCATAGGAGAGTCCTCCAACGTTAGCAACCAGCTGGACAAACTAAAGGTCTTCTCGTCTCTGGTGCAGGGGCCAATACACTCACCCCTCAGCCATGGAGGCTCAACACTAGCACACTGGAGACCATCTCTAAAAAGCTTCTATGCCCAACTTTGACCCAAACACACTAGGCCTTTCCCTTGCTCATGTAGCTACATATTGCTCTGCCTCACACCTCCCTCCTCCATGAAACCTTCTCCATCAACTCTGAGTCACAAAGGATTCTTCCTTCTCTTGCATTCTGCAGCATTTAGCATCTGTACTATAAGTGAACTTTTATATATACACTTCACTCGCCCAGTTACACTTCAAGCCTGTCATCTGGTCAACAAATATGAAACAGCTCCTGTAAACCAAACATTGTGCTGGGCACTGGGGATCGTATTGAACCAGAAAGACAAGCTCCCTGTCATGATGCAGCTGAAACTCTTGTGGGCCGAGGCGTACAAATAAACAAATAAGCAAAACATTTCAAATATTGGTAAATATGGGAAGAGGGGAAACTAAAAGCAGGGTTGCTAAGACAGGAAGTGACTGGGTAGGTAGGGGATAGTTTACACAGGGTGGTTAGTGGAAGCCTCTTTAAGAGGTACTATTAACAACAACATGTTGCTGAGACCTGAGTAATAAGAGGGAGCCAGTCAGGAGGTCAGGGGGCAAAGGAACAGTAAGTGCAAAGGTCCAGTTTCAGGTTTATAAACAGTGGTTATGGTTAAAGCATAGCACGTGAGGAAATACAGTAGCACAAATGAGGCCACGTAGGTTAAGAAGTGGCTTCAGTTCTATTTCCAGTGGTAACTTACTTTAGGGTGATCAACATTTTATGCTTTCTAGAATTTTCAGGGCTAACTTATCTGTTAGCTTGTCATACTATGGTGGCTTTTGTGTTGCTGTGATGTTGGAAGCTATGTAACCAGTACTGTAAATACCAGCAGGGTTACCCATGGTGGACAAGTTTCAGTGGAGCTCCCAGACTAAGACAGACTAGGAAGAAGGAGAGGCAGACCACTTCTGAATGGTTAGCCACTGAACTACAGAACATTGTCAGATATAGTGCCAGAAGATCAGTCCCTCCAGTTGGAAGGCACTCAAAATAGGACTGGGGAAGAGCTGCCTCCTCAAAGTAGAGTTGACCTTAATGATGTGGATGGAGTAAAGCTTTTGGGACCTTCACTTACGATGGGGCACAACTCAAAATGAGGAAAACCAGCTGCAAACATCCATTAATAACTGGAATGTGGAATGTATGAAGAATCTAGAAAAATTAGAAGTTGTCAATGAAATGGAATACAAAAGGATCAATATTCTAAGCATTAGTGAGCTGAAATGGGCTGGTATTGGCCATTTTAAATCAGACAATCATATGGTTTATTATGCTTGAGATGTCAAATTGAAGAGGAAGGTGTCACATTCGCTGTCAAAAAGAGCATTCAAGAACTATGTTAGCCTATCACAATACTGTCTGTGATAGGCTACTATCTATCATGCCAATAAGGAAGACCAGTTAATACCACTATTATTCAAATTTATGCACCAGCCACTAAAGTCAGTGATGATGAAATTAAAGAATTCTGCCAACTTCTGTAACTGATGAAACATGCAATCAAGATGCTTTGATAATTACTGGTGATTGGAATGAGAAAGTTGGAAACAAAGAGGAAGGATCTGTAGCTGGAAAATGTACCCTGGTGATAGAAATGATGCTGGTGATTACATGATAGAATATTGCAAGACTTTTTGCAAATACCTTTTGTCAACAACATCAAAGGGGGCTATACATGTGGGCCTCACCTGATGGAATACACAGAAATCAAATTGACTACATCTGTGGAAAGAGAGGATGGAAGAAGCTCATAATCATCAGTCAAAACAAGGCCAGGGGCAGACTGTGGAACAGACCACCAACTGCTTATACGCAAGTTCAGGCTGAAGCTGAAGAAAATTAAAACAAATCAATAAAAGCTAAAATATAACCTTTAATGTATCCCACCTGGACTTAGAGCCCATTTTAAGAACAGATTTGATGAATTAGATTCTAATGACTGAAGACCAGAGGAATTAAGAGATGACATCATCTATGAAGAAAGCCAAAGGTCATTAAAAAGATAGGAAAGAAAGTGAAGACAAATGGATGTCAGAAGACACATAGGAATGCATAGGAATGCTAAAGGGACTGGAAGAAAAGAAGTAGTTAAAGAACTGAACAGAAAATTTCAAACAGCTTGGGAAGATAAAGACAAATGTTATAATGAAATGTGCAGATTTGAAGTTAGAAAACCAAAAGGTAAGAATATACTCAGCATTTCTCAAGCTGAAGGAACTGAAGACAAAATTTAAGCCACAATTTTGAATACTGAAGGATTCTATGGCATTGAACTGCTAACCACAAGCCAGCAGTTCAAATCTACAAACCATCACTTGGGAACCCTATACCAGGTAGCTATGAGTCAGAACAGACGCCATGGTACTTAACACAACTACAAATGGGCAAAATATTGAATGATGCAGAAAGCATCAAAATAAGATGGAAGGAATACGCAGAGTCACTGTACAAAAAAGAATTGGTTGATGTTCAACCATTTCAAGAGGTAGCATATCATATGATCATGAACTGATGGTACTGAAGGAAGAAGTCCAAGCTGCACTGAAGGCATGGGTGAAAAACAAGGCCCCAGGAATTGATGGAATACAAATTAAAATCTTTCAACAAACTGATATAGAAGAGATCCAGATTTGTGCCCATTCCAAAGAGAGGTGACCGAAGAGAACGCAGAACTCATCGACCGATATCATCAGTATCACATCCAAGTAAAATGTGGCTGAAGATAATTCAAACACAGTTGTGACAGTACATCAACAGGGAACTATGGGATATTGGAGCTGGATTCAGAAGAGGGCATGGTACGAGGGATATCATTGCTGACGTCAGATGGATCTTGGCTGAAAAGCAGAGAATACCAGAAAGCTGTTTACTGTGCTTTATTGATTATAAAAAGTCATTTGACTGTGTGGATCATAACAAACTATGAATAACATTGTGAAGAATGGGTATTCCAGACACTTAATTGTGTTCATGAAGAACCTGTACATAGACCAACAGTCAGTCATTCGAACAGAACAAGGGGACAATGAATGGTTTAAAATTAGGAAAGGTCTGTGCCAAGGTTCTATCTTTTCTCCATCCTTATTCAATCTGTATGCTTGAGTATCACTACCACTCATGTCTGAAATGGTAATGATACTCTAATATTTACAGTATCCACAGAATGAGTTACTTTTGATCCTAATCATCTCCTTGTAACTGGATGAGTCTTCATTTCCTCCACAAACACTTCCTTACCACAACCATCTGGCATCAGGAATTAATTGCTCACCCCTTTAATGAAGGTGGGTTTGTCCGTTGTGTTTAAGTTCCAGAGCAAGATATCACCTCCTTTGGAGCCCACAGCCAGTATGCTGGGGTGAGTTGGATGCCATGCCAGCGACGTGGCCCTCCTGTCAAAGGGGACGGCCTTTTGGAAGATCCGGTAAGAAGCCAGAGAGTGTAGAAAGGAATGCTGGAGAGTCTGCCACAGAGAGAAAAGAATGACGTTGAATTAACACTCAAGTCCTGGGTACACTGCCAATCTCAGAGTCTTTTCACCAAAGAAAACTAACTGCTTGGCTTTGTGCCTAAAAGCATTACCCTGCTCTCCAAAGGATGTTTGTAGAGTATGTGAACTAATCTTGGAAAGCAAGGGAGCAGAGTTCATTGCAGCTGGGACCTTTACACCGTTAAGACTTCTCCCTGGTTGAATGCCCAGTAGGCCAGTCACTAAGGCTGGGGTGATCAGAACACTCTGACAACCTGCCAAACCAACCCAACATCAATTCTGGAGCATCCAATCCCAAAAAGGCACCATGCAAACCGTTGAGTACTTCAGCCAGGAAAGGTCTCACCTGTTGCAGCGTTGGGCAAACAGCTTTGCCTAGCTTCTGCTGGTGAAGGGCTCTGACAACACTGCTGTTTGATGCTGGGTTGGCTGATCCTGTCCAAAGGCAGCCTGCGTCAGCTCTTCTATTAGAACCTGTCAAAACAGAACAGACACACAGTTCCCTCTCTGATCTCCTTCAGGAAAGACTTTTTAGCTTGAATCCAGAAAGCTAGCTTTGTTGTTTCATTCAGCAAAGCCAAGCAATGCCATTTCCATGATTGGCTTAGCTTCACCCAACCCAAGAGATAAGTACTGAGGAGGTATTCTACTCCTTTATAGCCCCCCCCACATAGCGCTGTAAGATAAGCACTGGACCACAAGGTTGCTTTGAACCACAGGTTGGCAGTTCAAACTCACCAGCCACTCCTCCAAAACCCTTATGTGGTCGCTATGAGTAGGAACTGACTTGACGGCAAACCCAAACAGTAAAGTCTGACATGACAGGTAAGTATGATCTTGCAAGGTTCCTCAGAGCTGAGCCAAAGGAACAATGCTCAAATAAAGTATAATGCAAAACAAGTCTCAATATGGATTGGAAAACTTGAGAAGCGGGCAACAATGTTAAAATGCCATATAAAGGGGTTTCAAGTCTGTGAAAAGATTCCAATACTTTTTCATTTCATTTTTTCACAAACTTTTTGAAGTCCTCTTTGGATGGTGTGCAATAAAAAGATTTTACTACTCGACATGACTGTTTAGGAAAAGACATGTCCTTAAATCATATTAAAATAATATAAGAGGTGGCCAGCTGCCAGCCCCAACGGCCTCCTCTTGGGAAACTAGAAGAGTCCAAAGGGTCTGGGCTAATTCAAAGGAAACCAGCCTGGTTCTGGGGAGATAGAGCCACTAAGAATAGGAACTCTGGATTAGCAAATTGCATTTGAATACTTGATCTCTATGGATTCAGACTCTTGAAACCCAGTTCTTTTAATGAACAACAATAAAAAAGAAAACCCCACGCACGAACTGAGTTTATAAACCCTAATTTCAGTGTTTGAGGCTACCCCCACCTTCCTTGTTGTCCCTCAAAGCCTTAGAGAATGTTTTCTATAAAATGAGAGAAATTGAGGGCTCCTTAGCCTAAACCAAGAACAATACAGTTTAACAATCATGACTAGGGAAATTCAACACACAGGACCAGGCAAGGTGGGATTTTTTTTAAAAAAAAGCAGTTTTCTGTGTGGAAAGATCCTAGTATAATAAACAAGGGACTTGAAAAGTCCTGTCTGTTACAGGGAAGCTTATCTACTCTTCTCTTCACTTGAGGGGAGTTACACCCCTGCTCAAAGCGAGCATGTCAAAGGACCGTCTGCAGGCAAAATGCACCTGCACCGCTGGGGGCGTCGTTAACTTGGCACAGCCTTAGGAACTCAGGAGCTTCCCGTTCCCCACCCCTAGTCTTCTGCGTCACAACCCTAAATAGCGGAACTATGAAGGCAGCAGGCACAGATAGTACCGGGGCTCTTTACAAAGAGCTTGGCCTCTTGCTCCAGCTCCTGAGGGCTTCTGCTCCTCTTGCCCCTGAGGCACATAGCAACTTCTGGGGTCTTCTGGGTTTCTGGGCATTTCCTAGGAGCCATTTCAACTTCCGTGAGAAGAACTATATGAGACCTTAAGCTGAAATCATGGAGTGAGGATTGAGTGGCCTCTAGGAAGAACAAGACTGGGACTAAGAAAGCCAGGTGGGCCACAGGTAGACCAACCTCTACTTCGCTTTTGAGTAATTGTTAATATTTTGATCTCATACAAATACTTTTTAAGTAGAACACCAATTTTAAAGTACTATACTTTTTTTCTGTTTGACATTCTGCTGTTTTGAGAAAACGTGATCTCAAGGGATAAGCTAGGTTCTAAGCTTAAAAAGTGTATCAGGATGATAGTCTCAGTGAAGCTTTGTCTGTACTATTCCAATTTATATGGGTTTTCATTTTTTTTAGGCATCTACATTTGGCTTCACATTTTTCTCTCATTCTGTTTGAGATCACTGGCTTTACTAGTACATAAACTTGAATAATAATGGTATTAACTGATCTTCCTTGTAGTTTTATGTACATAGACAAAGAAGCAGATCTTAGAACAGAATAAGGGGATGCTGAATGATTTAGAATCAGGAAAGGTGTACAGGAAAAGGTAGAAACATTAACTGCCTCTTCCTTGCCAATGCTAATCAGGTTACTGAATGGGA